ATATATATATATCCACTATTGAATTTGTAGAACAGATAACTGCTATCGATCACAAACAGTATTAGTATTTATGTAGATTTAAAGAAAGCATTCGACACAACTGATCACAGTATTTTTGAAAAATTAAGTAAATCTGGTATTAGAGGATCTGCACTACAATGGGTATCTAGTTATTTAAAAGGTAGGAAACAGTTTGCACAGATAAATGGTGTAAAATCTAAACTTGGTAATATCACACGTGGAGTCCCTCAGGGCTCTGTAGTGGGACCTAAGTTGTTTATTTTATATGTAAATGACTTAGTAAATGTGTCAGGACTTTTCAGATGTGTTTTATTTGCTGATGATACAACATTTTTTTGTTTAGGTAAAGATATAGAAAAAATGTTTGAAATGGTACAGAAAAAAATTTGAGAAAATACAAAATTGGTCTCAACAAAACAAATTGTCATTAAACTTGAATAAAACATTACATGATATTTAGTAATAGGAAGACAACTGTTGATTTCTCAATTAAAGTAGATGTATTGAGATCTGTAATGTCAGTGAGGTGTCATCTTTGATGACAAGCTGACATGGAGACCACACATACATTATTTAAGAACAAAAATATCTAAATCTATTGGAGTACTGTATAAAGTCAGGGAGTTATTCAGTGACAAAGCTCTGCTTGTGTTGCACAATTCAATAATTGTTCCACATTTAATTTACTGTATTGAAATCTGGGGTGAAGCATGTAAAAAAATTACAAATCCAATTTTTATTTGGCAGAAAAGAGCCATAAGAATGATCCCTAGAAAAGATTACAACCCTCCATCAAATACATTATTTTGCAAATTGAAAATTTTGAAATTCTATGATTTGGTTGTCTATAATATTTTACTGTTTATGTACAAGGCTCACAGAAACATATTACCTTCCAACATTCAGGCAAATTTTGTTAAAAGAGACAATTGTTAATATCTAAAGGGGATGGAAATGTTTGTGAAGCTATATTTTTGTACTTGCTTGAAAGAAAGATGTACTTTAATCCAGGGTATAGGATTGTGGAACAGTCTGGAGGATGTTTTTAAAATTGCCAGATAAATTTAAAAGATAGATAAAAGCTACTTTTTTGAAGGTATACGAAAAGTAAAATGTGAAGCTATTTGAATTGTTGTTTGAGTTGATGTTTTTATGTTGTTTTTATTTTATTTTATTTTTTTGTTTATTTAGTATTGTTTTGT